CATACCAGGGACAGGAGGGAGGGGGCACACTTTATACATACCAGGGACAGGAGGGAGGGGGCACACTTTATACATACCAGGGACAGGAGGGAGGGGGCACACTTTATACATGCCAGGGACAAAGGGGAGGGGGCACTTTTTATATATGCCAGGGACAGGAGGGAAGCGGGCACAGCATACTTTGGGCGTTGGCGTGAAACAATTTAAATATGACCCGTGAGGATTGCAGGGCACACTTTAAACATGAAAATGGCAAACTTAAAACTAACCACATGTAAATTCTGCGATAAATGTAAAAAATTCAACATTTTGTTACTTAGATAAAGATTTACAGGGCACTGTTGTGAATCGGCAATATAATTGAAGGGTCAATTGAAAAAAAACGTTTAATAAAACCCAAATGGGTTAACCATTTTTATTTCTACTCCATTTTTAAGATGCAAAGAAGGCAGACAACATTTTGAAATGCACAAACGACTTTCATTTGATTTGCATAATGATCCAAGCCTGTGTTAGTTTTTTACGACTTGCTGTATTTATTCATGCCTGCCTTGTATATTGTTTTGATAAATAGTTTACCAAGGTTTTGTTGGGAGGAGGATAAAATATGTAAATTGGAGGATTTTAAGTTAAAGTAGTTTAACGGGAGAAAATATATGGAAGATAATAATTCCAATTATAACTATGATATAGTTTGGTAACTTTGCTTTTTGCTAATTCACATGAGGTTTGGACCCTTTTCATACAATTTATAAGTCTTTTTACTCACAATTTTATCCAAAAACTCGTTTTGTCGTAAGAAGGGTCATAATATCAGAATAAAAGTTATTATCAATTAACCATGTTTATTCCAAATCATCAAATAAGTTTGATCCTAAATTTGAGACTTATTAATTTATAAATCACTCTTTTTCTGAATACCCTGTACCAAACATTCTACTAAGTTCTATTGTTAGATGGTGTTTCATTCATATTAAATAAAAGGTAAATGAAAACTCAGACTTTTTAAAAGTATCTATATTTCAGATTCAGATATCCATAATTGTCACAAAACGTTGGTGATACGTGTACAATACAATTGAAAACTTTACATATTTTGAATATAAATATACATTGAGACCCATAAAACTGTGAAATAGGAAGGTGACTGTTAGACTGAAGTTATGATTTTACATAGTTCTATTTACACAAAAGATAGCAAATTGTCTTCCAAATTCACAGTTTTACCGGTCCACCTGAAATTAAAATTCGACGAATGTTTTAAGGCGAATGCCCAGGCGATGCGTCTACCACTGAGTCATGTAACGAAGACAAGTGTCCTGCCTGGACCAATTGGTCTGAATGGACGGAATGCTCAGTCACGTGTGGAGGGGGGTCACGTCGGCGCACAAGAGACTGTGTCGAGAGATCTGGGGACGGGTGCACGGGCGAAAATGAGGAAAGATATACATTAGCTATTCAAACGATTGATCCACCGTAAATTTGTAAATGTACAGCTGTATTTGATGTGAGATGGGAAATAAGAAAGAAGGTTAATTGGAAAGAAGATTGTTGCGAATGAAATGATAAAATTTGAATAGATTAAAGGTTAATGTAAGTTAAGGAAATAATTGCTAAAGAAGAAAGGAAAATAGGTATGAAAAAAGGTAGTATTCGAAAAAAATAATTAACTATTAATTAATTAATTTTAATTGGGAGCAATAAAAAGAAAAAAGTGAGTGAATTGTAAGAAAAATTCAAAGATTGGCTAAATGAGTATCTGGTAAAGGAAAACGAGGAGTGTAATATGCAAGGTTGTCCTGGCTGGAGTCCCTGGACGGATTGGACCAACTGTACTGCTCCTTGTGGTGGAGGGTTTAGAGAGAGAGAGCGACAATGTCTGGTTGATGGTGTCAGGTATAAGTTATTACAAACACATATTCAGGGTTCATGGTAAATGTTTGCGGAAGTTCAGGCCTCTCCGCATTCCATGTCAAAGACAGTAATAGGCCTGTTATTAATGATTTTAATAATTTAACTCCCTTGAGATTATCGAGCAAGAAAGTTGACAGCTAGCGAGTTCAAATGCCAAAGAATGAAAAATACATCTGATTTAAAAATAAGACTTTATATACAAGTGGTGAATTTGTTGTTTGCTCCAGGTGCATCTGTGAAGAGGAGAAGCTCTGTGTCGGAAACTTTAAGGAACAACTTTTAAAAATAATTGTTTAAAAGATAGATGTATTGATACTAATAAATCCTTTTTCGTTGATTTTAACAACCTGAGCTGAAAACTTTAGAATTGGATAACTGAATATTCACTAGGAAACTTTTAGTTTTCTTTTTAATCCCCTCTTGTTGAATATCACATTTCCTACTGAATGAAATAAAGATACGTTTGATAACAAATACAGATACGATGCTATATCGATTGGACTAATATTCGATTGAACTAAAGTCAGCTGTTCACAAGCCGGCTTTTAGAGCATTTAAACAAATATAAATTTAATCATGGTAATATGAACTTATTAAAAAACATATTTTATCACATTTAAGGACTATAGTCCTTTTTAACATTATTCTTATTACACATCAATCCAAAGCTTACGTTCGTTCAATCGATCTCTAAAAGTTAATCTAAAGTCTTCAGATTATCAAAAATAGAGGATCGAGCATTAATCTCGATATCGACCGTTCTAAAGTTATTTGCTCTGTTCTACCAAAAGAATGTTTGCATGAATTAATTGCATTTCTTATGTTTGCTGTAAAAAAGGAATATTAGCTTTAAGTTGTATTTAAACCAATAGGAAGGAGAGACGTGTAATGAGGAGCAGTGTCCAGAATGGACTAGTTGGACTACCTGGTCCTCATGTTCTGTTACATGTGGTCCTGGATCACAGTCTAGAACAAGGGACCAATATCTAAACCTTAAATTTATATATATACTTTGCTTGTTTGTCTGTCTGTATACAATAAACGGCTGAACCATCGGGCCTTTTTTTTCTGCAACTCACATAACCCCAGAGAATGGTTTATGGATGGTTAAAGATGAAAAACTTTTCCCAGAAAATAATGTCGACATCATATTTTTTTTGAAAATGCACAAATTCAAACAGAAAATTCCTTGATTTACGAAGTTAAACGGTAGCTTGAATTAAGAGCAACACTTAAAAGTTGTTGCTAGAAAATGGTTGCAAAGCGCCCTGAAAGCCTAGTTCAATAAAGATTACACATTAACAAAGGCCTTTTAGTTTAACGATTGTATATTCCAAGAATGCATTTCACAGCATATACGTGATCTGGTTTTTAAGGATTTTATTAGCAATCAACTCTATTTTGTATTCCTTCGATCCTATACAAACAATAATCATCCCTATCTTAGTTTCAAGAAATCTAAATTGTACTATAGTTAAAAATTATTTTGTCTGAAATTGAATAAATTCTTTAAATCAGGTCAGGAGAGGACAAAGTAAAATCTAAATAGAAATTTAAGAAAGTTCATGAAAAATTTGAATAAATTGGAATGGATATTGTCTGATAGGAAATGCCGCGGACTAGGAGAGTGTTCAGGTGATGGGGAGGAGGTGAGGGATTGTAAGGATAGAACGTGTGTATCCTGGAGTACCTGGAGCACCTGGTCAACCTGCTCATCAACGTGTGGATCTGGCTTGAAAGAAAGAAGAAGAACCTGTGGTCCTGCTGTTAGATATTTAGACTCCTGTCCAGGAGAAGAAAGCGAACAAGAAGACTGCAGTTCAGGTAAACCATATCCATATCCATTAAGCTAATATTTTGTGCATAAAACATACTGGATCAACTACACATTGATTTACCTATTGATGAATGAACAGCTATACAGTACAATTACTCGCTGTGAATCTAATATGCCACTCTCTACTAATTGAAATTACGTGTCCAGTCCCTTTAACATTAATTAGCTGGATAATAAGAAAATATTAAAACTCTAATGCTACTGCTTCTTACTACTTCTTAAATTGAATTTTTATTTTTTCATTGTACTAAAAGACAGAGCTGTCTGTGTTTATGTATATACATTTAACCCACCGTACACCCGGCCTTGTCTTTGTTACTATTGTTAACAAATTGAAGCAAAAATTTAAAATAAAATTATCTTAGAAAGTTACAGGAAATTTGTTGTTTATGTTATTTTTTCCCCTCAAAATCTATAAAATAAAACAAGACAATAGCCGGCAAAACGGCTGGACCGAATGGGTTGACATTTTTGTGGCCGGGGGAGCATCGCCGGGCCCTACAGCTAGTATCAAATAAACCTGAAAATATTTTGTTGAAATATTTTTCCTTATTTAATGTTTAGTATTAGAAAGCATTAATCTCACTGTGAAACAAGATTAGTAAAATTTCATAAACCACTGCCGTCTGTTAGCAATAATCAGAGTAAAATGAAAACCATTAATATAACTCATTCAGGTCCTTGTTCAAGCTGGAAACCATGGGGCTCTTGGTCTCCTTGTTCAGCAACATGTGGAACAGGATCCCGGAGCAGGAACCGAGAATGTTCTACGGACGCGGATACAAGGAGTGGAAGTGCAGTTCCTCCCTGTGTAGGAGAAGGAGAGGAACAGGAAATGTGCCAAACCAAACCATGCCAAGGTAGATAATTTTCAAGTTGTGTGGAAAACCATTAAGCAGGATTCGACCCGATCCGCTTCACCTAAATAATCTTTAGGCAAGCCTTTCACCTTGACGCCAAGAAAAATACGAGATTTAAAAATTTCTGTTTTTAAAAGGAAGTCAGCAAAACATATATAACTCAAATAGTGAAACGGAACGGGTCGACTCCATACTCCTTAAATATGAATATCATAGAAACTCCGAAACCAAATACAATACAAATATGTGTTTCTGGGCGAAAGATAAAAAAAGCTCAGTTGACCTCTAGTTGGCCAGAAACTACAGTACAATTTACTTAATTGTTATCAAAGCTTTGGAAGTTTCCGGGGTTAGAGCAATAAGAAATTTGTCAATACTCGGCAAACATTTTAATTTTATATCCGGCCCTTCATTTTATACAACCTGATGGTGTAAACCTTCGTGATTCCAAACTATGAATTTTGTTAAATCGAACAGTCTAAGTTAAATATAACAACTGTGTTGTGTCTATACCATCAGACTGAAAGGAAATTAGAACCTGTGGCGGGTATTCAGTTCCCTGTTTTATATTTTGTATGTTCAAGCTAAACCATTCACCACCACACCGTTAATACCATATCTTTGTGTTTTTTCCTTCTTTTTTTTGAGCAAATGGAAAGCTGATCATGAGTCAATTGATCTACCCCCTCCCCTCATAATATTAATTGATGAATAATATTATTTAACGTTTCTGCGTAATTAAATAATATTTGATTTGATTTGATTTGATTTGATTTGATTTGATTTGATTTGATTTGATTTGATATTCGATCTGTCACAGTAAACACTCTACCTTATGCAAACTGCATAGTGTAAATAAATCAAACTTATAGATCATGATGTTTTGGTTTAAATCAGGTTGGAGTGACTGGAGTAGCTGGAGTGAATGCACAGTGAGTTGTGGAGGGGGGTCTAGAAGAAGGGATAGAACTTGTGAAATAACAAATAATAGGTACATATATGTGTCTAACCTTTTTAAAATTTTCAGAATAATATATAATAAGTTGTCGCCAAAAAATACTTATCCACTTTTCAATAATATTTTTTTGATTTTACGAGTTAACCCTTCTTTCTATGGATGTAAAATACAACAACAAGCACAATATTTTTAAGCCTTAATATAAAAGATTATCATATTTTAAGAGATTGCTTCAAATAATTAATTAATGAATAGACTAGGGTTGTTGACTTCCCCCTGTCCTGGGCCAAACCAGGATTCTGAAGAATGCAATAAACAACAATGTTCAACCACGACAACAACAACAACACAGGTTTGAAAATCAACCGGCCTTAGCTTGGGGAGCTTCAATTTTATACTGAATCTGACCTTTAATGAAATAAAGGTGTTTTTGCGAGGAGAGATGGTCAAAGGTTTAGATTTAAGTTAAATCTCCGTTTTTCATTTTTTTCTTCAAGATCAATTAAGATCATGCATTTCGTAATTATTGAATTGATGCACTCTTTGCAGCAAGAATTGAAAAAATGGCTATATAATTAATTAAACCTGAGATAACGATCACAACACACTAAAAAATAAGTATTGACGCAACTACACTTTGAATCAAAATCCGACAATTTGCATTACTATTCGTTACTAAAAATCAATAGTGAATTCTTCGTTTTCAATCCATAATGAAACATGCACGCACTAATTGAAGAAAAAAAGTAGATTTAAAAAAAAAATTCTACTCGTTAATACTTTTTGTTTCCACTATCAATAACAAAATTTTCTAATACAGTTTGAAAAATAGCATCTATAAAGTGCCTCATAGGATTAAAGCAAATATATTTGATTTCATATTCAGGCTCCAAGTGTAGATTGTGGAAACATAAAAGTTCCAAGTCAGTTTCTAGCCTTCAACAACAAACCAGCAGTAAATATAGGTAAAACTAAACTAGAAGTAAATATAGGTAAAACTAAAATAGAAGTAAATATAGATAAAACTGAACTAGAAGTAAATATAGGTAAAACTAAACTAGAAGGAAATATAGATAAAACTAAACAAGAAGTAAATATAGGTAAAACTAAACTGGAAGGAAATATAGGTTAAACTAAACTAGAAGTAAATATAGGTCATAATAAACTAGAAGTAAATATAGGTCATAATAAACTAGAAGTAAATATAGGTTTAACTAAACTGGAAGTAAATATAGGTTAAACTAAACTAGGTTAAACACTAAAAATGGACGTTGCAGTATTGCTAAAGGGGAATGGAGTTTTAGTTTTAGCCATAAACTCAAATTTTCTAATCCCTATATCTTGGCAACCGTATGGGGCAAGCCTTTGATATTTCAAACTTGGACTTTTTTTATCTAACATAATTTACATAACGAAAGGCTATGACATCGGGTTGCAAAGATAAAGGGATTAGAAAATCAGAGTTTGTGGCAAAGACTCAATTACTTTATGAACTTCAAATCATGAGCGAGGGTAGAGAGATTGAAAAGGGTGATCATAGAAAAGGAATTTAGCTGGGGGATCTTAAGTGATGCTTGATTGTAAAGATCAAGTGGGGATTAAACTGGTCGATATTTAGAACGGCAATGATCTTTGATATAATAAGTTTCTAAGGAGGCATTTTAAAGGGGAATGCAGGGTTATATATAAAAAAGTATTAGAGAAAAGGGTCATAAACCTTTATCTATGTATATACTTTGAATATACTTTGACTTGTTTCTCTGTCTATCTGTTTCTATGTCTCCAATAAAAGTAAAAACGGCTGATCCGATCAACCTCAAAATTTTGAGGAAACTTACTTGACCCCAGGGAAGGTTTTGGATGCTCAGAATTGCATAAAGGAATTGAGTCTTTGCCACAAACTCTGCTTTTCTAAACCCTATATCTTTGGATTCCAATGTCGTAGACCCTTTAGATATTTCAAACTATGAATTCTGTTAGATCAAATAATATAAGTTTGAAATATCAAAGATTTACGACATTGGGTTTCAAAGAAATAGGGATTATAAATTAAGATTTTGTGACAAAGACTCAATTCCTTTGTCTCTAAAAATTTTTGATTTGTGAAAATTTTTGAAAATCCACAAAAAATATTAATATTTATCCGACAATTTTTTTCTATTGTTTTATTTCGTACAGAGACAAGATGCTATAGTGCTAAGATGCTGAAATTACGAGTTGAAATAGAAAACGGGACGAAGTGCCCTAAAAGTCTAGTTATACTTGGGTGGGATTAAAGAAATTGCATACTAAAAAAATGTTCAAACATATCCCATCTGAGGAAAAACAATGGTTTCTGCAAAGCTGTATCTTGCAAATCTTAAAATGTAAGATAAATTGTTTGAACCTATTGTCTGTATCTGCTTGTCCATATATAGGATTCTGTTAAGATGTTAAAATTATGGCAGAGAGCGCTACAGAGAGTTCACAAAACTTTAACGCCTAACTTAAACTCAGATATACACAGATTTAGCATGCTCAGATAAAACAATTTACAGTTTGGTGTACATTTGGTGTAAGTGTGATTTAAGCCGTCGTTATCTATTATTAGAAAGGACGCATTTTCATTTAGTTATCTGTGTTCCCTCTGTAGTAGTCTTTGTAATATGTAGATATATATATGTATATGGTGCGGGTTTGATAGACAACCTTAAATTATCCCGTCAAACAACATCAATCTAAGTGTCTAAAACCACGCCGTCCATCCCTTATCCCCTCCTCAGCCTTAACCATACTACCCTCTCATGCTCATCACAAGAATATCTACAGACTTACACCGGAAAACAGTTTTTTTTACAAATAATTAATGTTATTCATCCTGCATTTACTAAAATAGTTAATAAAAGCTAAATCAATATTTTAGGGGATAAAAAGTGTAAAATAAAAGAAGTAAGCAGTCATATAATTTATAATTACTCCATTTTTAATTTTGAGATTAGAATAAGGTTACTACAATTGCACAATGCATACACTCATTGGCAAAAATATAATCTTATATTTTTTTAAATGCACTAAGGTTTATATTTCCTGCATAAAACCTTAGAATCTTGTAAATTAAAAGTTAGATATCTAATATAGTGTCAACCAAGGATTTGATGCAAGGAAAGTTATTTCAGAAGTGTACGCATGTTTTGTACTGCAGTGAACTGTCACTGGACGGTAATTAAAACACGAGGCGGATGTCGAAGCCTGAAATGGGATCCATCTTTCACATAAATAATCAATGAAATATTCTGGTCATAGGAAACTATTATGTGAATTACCAAAATTATCAAAATTCAATGCTTTTAACCTCCTCGGATACTAAACGAACACTGAGGCATCTATTTTTGTGTACAAATTCCGCCCAGAGAGAACTGGTTTCAATATGTACGCAGAGTATACGCAACTGCAATTAACTTTCCTTGCATTACATTCTTGGTGTCAACTGGGTTAACAACTATGAACTTACTAACTGTGCCTATAGTTATACTATTTCTCCATATTCAATTCTACTTCATGATTTACTGCAGACTGCAATGTCTTCTGCTTAATTCTATTAAAAATCAAATTATTAGTAAACATTAAATTCTTGCCTTTTAAGCTGATTGCTCCTGGGACTATTTTGGTTGTACAAACAGATATGGAAGCTGGCCAAACAATAAGGACTGCTGCATGTCTAGATATAAAGCGTGTTGTATGCAGGTTCGTTGTATGAATTAAAGATATATTGATAAATAGTTATTGCTAATTACACCTTGATTGTTAAAAAATATATTGGAATTGTTTCGACAATGGCTATTACCTCAAACAGAAAGTTTTTAAAATGCTTTGTTCTTTTTATGCACTATTCCCAAGAAATTAAAACTTATTTATATATCCCAACTAGGTGATGGGGATGACACCTCCACCAAGTACAACAACAACAACCATCGGAAGTATTGGATATGGCCCTGAGATAGATATTGATCTTGATATCAATATTGGTACCATTGAGAACCCAATAGATGACATAGACCTTGGTAAACAAAACTCATCATATTTTCGATTTTTACTATTATTTTGTTACAGTTTTTTATTTTGTTCATGTTAATTTTTATTGTTAAAATTTGGCTTGTCTTAATTTTTTTATACTTGTTCTTGTTCTTGTTCATATTCATGTTCTTGTACTTGTCTTGTTCTTGTTCTTATTATTTTTTTTCCTGTTCTTGTTCTTCTTGTCCTTCTTCTTAATTATCTTCTATGTTTGTAGCTTTTCTTTTTTACATTTTCTTACAGTCCTTCCCTATCCTAACCTTGTTGTCTCTTGACAGGAAGCGGAACTGGAGTGTTTAGACCGGAAACAGCTGCACTTGTAGCTGAGAATGAGGACGACCAGGTGGGAAGAATGAAAATTTATAAAAGTTCGTAAAACTTTCTTACAAACTCTTAAAAATATTATGCATAACTTTTTTGAACACTGAACAAAATATTTCAGGAGTTTGAAAGCCTGAGTAACAATTTTATTTCCACCAACCTTGATTCAGAAGAATATATAGGTGAGTCAAGAATTTATCATCCAAATCTTAAATCGCATCAAGAGCCTGTAGAATAGAGACAAGTGACCCTCACTTTATGAAATGGCATGTCCACATCATGTAATGGTACCCAGATACTTTTGTCTGTGAGATATCCTTATTTTTCTAACTAAAAACGGATTAATGTCAACTGCGGTGACTTGCAGATTTATGATATCGAGACAATAAAGGAAATTGTAAGAATTTAACATTTTTAAAGAAGTTGAATATTTATTTTCTAGATCAAACCGTATTTTACTATATTGTCAACTTGTAAAATATCGTATTGGGGACAAATCTTTCTTAAGTTTTATTTGTTGATTATTTAGTTTAATTCTTAATAGCTCAATTTAAATGTAATTATTATTTTTTTATACATTTGCTGTCTTAGAGAGAATTTTGCAAGGATTGCAAGAATTTTATTCTAAAAACCATTCTTTCGGATGATGAATTTTACATAAATTCTAACTTTTTGTTCAAAACTTTGCCAACGGGTTGCTGATGTGTATTTAATGGATATTTAACTTATTCAAAACTCAAAAATCTCTAAAAGTAAGTAAAATAAAAACTCAAAATAAGTGTTATGTATTAAGCCATAGTATAAATTAAACATTTATCCGTATATTTTGGCGTCTGCAGGATTAGATTAATTCCTTTTTGATTATCCCGAGATAGGAACCTAGTACTTAGGTATAAAATAACAAAAAATGAGTAATCAAGCACTTACACTTCAAATTTAAAGTTACCACCGTGAATATCGAGATAAAGTTTTGAAGCTTAGCGTTATCTCATAACAAGTTTCAACCTCTGGTCATGGGTATACTTCAGTTATTGTTACAAAACTCAAACTTGATATAGGGTAATATATAATACTATCTGCAAATAAATTTAGAACCAATGAAAGATTACATTGACGTTAATAAGAATATTTTTAAATACAAAGGATTGGTTTGCAATAATAAATACTAAGCACTCTACAATACTCCTGCAAAAATCCAATTAGCACAAGAACGATGTCTTTATGAGTTAATATCAATTCTCTCCGTTAGACTTCCTGACATAACATTATATACGTCTGAATTATTCCTGGGTTCCCTACCAACTGAGTGAACTGACTCGTCCTAGTTCCAGTTTTACCTTAGCTCCACGGTCAGCTCAAGGATTTAATGCAAGGAAAGTTATTTCAGGTTTACGCATCTTTTGTACTGCAGTGTACTGTCACTGGGCGATAATGTAAACACAAGACGGATGTCGAAGCCTGACATGGGATCCATCTTTCACATAAAAAATCAATGAAAAATTCTGGTCATAGGTCACTATTATGTGAATTATCAAAATTATCAAAATTCAATGCTTTGAACCTCCTCGGAAAACTAAACGAACGTACTGAGACATCTATTCTTGTTTACAAATTCCGCCCAGGGAGAACTGGTTTCAATATGTACGCAGGGTATACGCAACTGCAATTAACTTTCCTTGCATTACATACTTGGGTCAGCTCTTGTTCTCCCCGCCGCGGTTCTATCCGTGGCGAGATAATCAAGGGTTCATGCGGTAACGAAGAACTAACGCTTTATGTATCAGTTTCCGGAATATAAACAACATGATATATGGGACTATTTTATTCCGTAACTACGTTCCCCTAATTGGTTCTATCTTTTTTTCAATCACTTTGACACATTCTATAATTATGTAAAACTTTAGATCCTGCAGACGCATGCGCTGCAGCTGGATTAGATCTTTTTGGTCAACTTCTACCCCATCCTACAGATTGTACCAGGTAACATTAAAACAATGATAGATTATATATCAACCAATAAAATTATTATATCTTTATGACGCCTCTGCCTGGTTTTTTCTCTGAAACAAAAAATATCTTGCTCACAATAATCATAGGTTTAAGAACTTTTGAAAAATTTGAATCATTTCTTAAAAATTCAGCTGTTTCATCAACGGAGAAATAATGTTCTGAATTAAAGATATTGTAAAATAAAAACATTTAAATACACCTAAGATAGCTTTTCCTTAAATGAATTGGAGTCATGTGGAAACCAAGCTTATTCAATTTTTTTCTTTTCATGAAAAATTCCACATATATAAATAGTGTATATGAATCTGAAAGAAAGATTTTAAAACATCAATTAAAACATCTATTCTATGGTGAAATGAAGAATAATTGCATTAGTATAAGAAAAATACAGAACTTGGAACAATGTTTTTAATATTCATTGGATTTATATTGGCATATTAATTAAATATTAGTTTTGGTCCCCTCTCCAGCCAAAAAATACATAAAATAGTAAAAGTTGCTATGTAAGCTAATACACAAATTTTAGCAGATTTATAAAAATTAGACTGACCATGAGTGAATAAGGTAAAAAAGTAGAATGAAAAGCATTATTTTGTTTAAAATGTGTAGGTTTCTCTCATGTCAGAAGGCTGATGAAACTCACTGGATTGGTAATGAGATGAAGTGTCCTGATGGAACCGGGTTCGATCCTAGTCTCCGTTCATGTAACTATCTGGCGTACATTAAACGATGTAGAACAGGTGAGATCTAGGTGGGTAAAAAAGAAGAAGAAGGGGAGGGTAAATAAAAACAAGGGGAAGGGAAATGGTACTGGTTCTAGGGGAGGGGAAATGGTACTGGTTCTAGGGGAAGGGAAATGGTACTGGTTCTAGGGGAGGGGAAATGGTACTGGTTCTAGCGGAGGGGAAATGGTACTGGTTCTAGGGGAAGGGAAATGGTACAAATTAAAAATAATTATTTCAAACATATTTCCGACATACTTTTTGAACTTATTTAAAATCCTCCCTTGCACCCCATAACCATTAAAGTTAGAGGTCCTATTTTTTTAATGAACAGGCCTTGAAATGTTGGACTAAGCATGTATCACACTCCCCTATCTCAACTCGTAGGGGCAAAATCATAGAGGGGGGGGGGGGAAAACCCCCCCACACAGCCTATATTAGACAAATATAGCCCAACCAGGATTAGGGTTAACTATGAAAATCTAAATGTTGAAATTGGCTTTTCTTTGAAAATAGTTCGTGAATTGTATATTCAATGATTTGGCAAAGAAAAGAATAAGTTTAAAGCTGCGGGGAACATTAAAAAATAAACAAAGACCCAACAAATTCTGACTATTGTTTCTTAAGTCTAATCCTTTGCCGGTAATGCTGTAATATGGTATGACTGGTTCATGATAAAAGTTAATTTAATACGCAGACAAATTATCCAATGCATGACGATTAAAATTGGCTGAGTATAATGTTTGATGTGAATCTTTTGTAAATAATCTATAAGGGTTAAATCTTATTTAAAATCAGTAAATTTAGTTGTCAACTTTGACTTCAATTAAACAATTCTTAAAGAAAATGTTTTAACGAAAATTCAGAAATTCTTAACATATAACAAAAATGGTAGTAAAATAAGGTTAAAATTTCGCGAAAATGGTTTGTTGAAAATTTTTGCGAAAAAAATACGAATTTAACGAAAATTTCAAACGAATTTTAACGAATGTTTTCGCAAAAATGACCAAAAATTTTTGTTTTCGTTCAATTTTTCGCGAAAGAGATTGAACGAAAATTTTGAAACCCTATCCAGAGCAGGCAAAAGGGAATAACGGGATTATATGGTCAGGGAAGAAAAGGAGTCAGGATCAGCCATATTGGATTCTTTTAGTATTCACGAAGCATCGAATAGGAAGAGTCCCATGGAATATATTTTCACTACTGTGGGCGAATGTCGTGTTGAAGAAGAGTTAATTAAGATCATTAGATGACCAGTTTGTATAGTCAACATGAGCTGAAAACTTTAGAATGCGATATCCTCAATCCCGATCTGTTAATTAATCTGAAGATGAAATTCATGAGGAAAACAATCAATATTTAATCTGGAGATTAAGAAAAAGAGTGGATCAAGCATTAATCCCAATATTCACCATTCTAAAGTTCCCAGCACTGTAAATATAGATTTCTGTGCAAACATGTTTCATTATTTCATTCAATCTTGGCCTTTTACTTTCAGTCCTTTTTCAAGTCTATATTACAAATTTTTTATTTCGAAACTGAAAAGTTTAAAATCTACAAATATAGTTTATCAAGTATATATATCAAGTATAAAAACACATTTAAACCCCCGGGGGAAAATGGTTATTGAATATTTGACCACTCTGTACGTACAAGAGATGGATGAAGTGATCAAGATCTGTCAAGATAAAGTTTACTAAACTTTCAATTTATGGGGATTAAGTCAGGCAACCCAATAGCATAGAATACACGAGTATGTACAGTTGTATTTAGTACAAACAAAGGAATTGAGTCTTTGCCACAAACTTAAACTTGCTTATCCCTATATCTTTGCAACCTGAAGGGTTAGAAAGTCTTTAATATTCTAAACTTAGATTATTTGATCTAACAGAATTTATAGTTTGAAATATCTAAGGTCTACTAAATTGGGTTGGAAAGATAGAAATAAGAAAATCTGAGTTTGCAAAGACTCAATTCCTTTGATTGTATCTAAAACATGCTCGCTTTTTCAGTTGCTATAGATACAGTAATTTATTAATAAAAAGTAGTAATCTAAGCTTGTCTGTCCAATCATAATGAACCCTTTGACCGATTTACCTTACAAAGGAATTGAGTCTTTGCCACAAGCTCTGAATTTATAATCCCAATATTTTTAGATTTCAATGTCGCAAATCTTTGATATTTCAAGCTTAGATTATTTGATCTAATAGAATTCATAGTTTGAAATATCTAAGGTCTACGACGTTGGAATTCAAAGATATAGGGTTTAGAAAAGCAGAGTTTGTGGCAAAGACTCAATTCTTTTGGATATAGAAGCTCCTTAGAACCACTGAAATATTCTAGCTTGGTATAACAATACTAAGTTGAGCTATTTGACATCAATAGAAAAATATTAGTTTCGAAGCTAGTTTTATCTTCATTCTTAACATAAGCATAAAGCTTAATAATTCGTATAAAAGCGTCCTTGGGGTTATCTGTCCAGTAAGGTTGTCCTTGGGGTTATCTGTCCAGTAAGGTTGATCTTATAATTAGCGAAGAATTAAAAAACTTAAAATCCGGTGATGGTGATGGACCAAACCTCTGTAGAGTAAAAAAGTAGATGTTAGTTCCACATTTATTGAAAATATATTTCGGTCTGTGTTGACCCTCGTCAGTTCTTGAGATTGTTTCTGACACAAACATTCAAAAACTTTGCAGTAAAAATAGCCTAAACACTAAACAACGATTAGGATTGGAGCCTCATAAACATGTTATCAGTGAAACCTTTTCTTATATAAGATTTAGAGGATTATCTCCGTATTACAAGGCTTTTACAGGGATTAAATAAATAAGAAGTTAAATTCATTTGATCTCATTGATGGTATACAACACAGGGATATAGGGATTTCAGTTATACTTATACAGTTATCCATTATGCGCAGCTGCACCTAACATGAATAATATAGAATAAAGAATTAATGAAAGTATCTTTTCTCTTGGATGTTCCGTCATGGTCTCAGGAGCCCCTTAAGCGATTTGCGTCAAATATTGATTGGGAAACTCGGTCGAACCACGGGAATTTTCTTAGATTGGTTTAAAAATTCTAAGTTCAGTAGGTTGACTTTTTTTAAGTAAAAGTTTAGTTTCCAGTCTATATATACCGAGTTTCTAAGCTAGTACGTAATACAGAAGTAAACTCTATTTTCCTGTCTGTTTTTATGTCCGATCATTGCTCATAAACCTCTTGACCGATTTGCCTCAAATTTTTATTGAGTAACACGTTAAGAGACACAATTTAACGGTCTTAAAAATATGGTTTAGAAGTTTTAGATTGTCTAGATAGACTTTTCAATTGAAAACACATTGCCCAGGCAAAGCTAGGTTCCCAATGTAGTATAAAATAAAGGGTAAAGAATTAAATCTAAAATATGACATAAAGGGACTGGGAATTTGATTAATTTAACCATTCAACCATCTCACCGGTGCTCACTGGCTCAAATCCTAAATCACTGATGTTAACTAACCCTAATAAGATGCATGAAGCCATAAAAGAGATGTAGGTTGAATTGTATCTAAGTAGTTCAGCGACTTCTCGTAATTTATTAAATCTGGTCCCAATTAAATTTGGAAAGAAGAGAGAAGATAAAAGAAAAATGAAGGAGAGGAGTAATTTAGATAATTCAAACGAAAAAAAAGGAAGGAATAAAGGGGGAAACGTTTGATAATGAAGTTCAATTTGATTATTTACTTTCACTGAAGAGTCTTTCATGATTTTGAATGTCTCAGTGGGGTTTCAAAACTTGATTTCTACAATTACTTAACTAAAACTAAATAGAAATATTACAGTTAAGAAAGTTGCCCTTATATCTATACTACTTAGCCTTGTTAATGTAGGACAACACGTAACACCTACGATGTATCAAAACATGATAAAAATAAGGAACTGGGAAGATTTAAAGTTATCCCAAGTGTGAGAAGGCAGGCAAAAAAGAATAAAGGAAAAGAAATAGAAATGTATCAAGCAAAGAACCTTCTGTTCTGTGTAAGACGTCAGACATTTAGCCTATTCGAATTTAGAAATACTAACATTTACTAAAATAAAGGTTCTTGTAAAACTTACAAATTAGAAACAGAATTTAATAAAAAGAATTATTAAGAGGAATATTTTTTGTTTTTTGTTTTGTTTACAAAGCTAGGTTGGATTTACTTGAATGAAAAGAAATAGAAAAAGAAAAAAGCATTTGTCGGCGGGCGGTATGTTTTTTTTTCAGTAAACGTCAAAACGGCTGAACCGATCTGGCCCAAATATTTAGTTTTTCCCATATTTGTAATATTTATTAAACGTAAATTTATAGATAAATAATTCGCAAACTTCATTGTATCCCATTTTTTATTTTATGTACATTGTACAATTATAGAGAAGAAAATTTTCATTTTTAGTAAAATAAAATTTAAGTTAAATAATTTTTATATATTTTAGGGAGACGGGCAAGAATACTGCAAGGGTTCTAACCACATGGCTAAGAGCTTACCATTACCACCTTGCTCAGCTGGAAATAGACTAAATTTTGCGTTCGTTAATCTTATTTGTTTTTGACCAACGTAAAAGCATATAAAGTGGTATGAAACGTTGATGCCTGAAAAATGACATAATTAAGCTTTCAATACATGTCTGCCATTTTATAACTGGTTTAAGAAACATATCATATTGTCCATTGGATTTATTTTTGCTCATAGCTTTAAATATTTAACGTTAAAGAAAGTTTGAGTAGAACTACAAAAAATGAACAACTTTTTTAAACAAAAACTTACTAATATTTACTTAAACTTTCTTTAAAGTTATGTAACTTAATTTAGTTAGATTTTTAATCGGCTTTATTTGTTATTAAATGAATGTATCTACAAAAAAAATAATGCTTCCATTTTGTATGAATCAACATTTGTATTATATAAGAGGGATCTTGGTGAAGGAACGATAATGTTACAAATATAAATAAAGATATATAACTCTGTGTTTATTTTATTTGTGTGTATGTCATATTTGTAATTGTATGATAAAAACTTTCAACCTATTTCTATTTTATAAGAGTTGTTTAGCTTTAAGGTTGAAAAAGTCTAAAGTATCCATACAATATGTCCGTGCAACAAAACGAATCGTATTACATAACTTCAACTAATGCTTAAACTGTAATATGTAAAAGAAACAGGCAATGTTCTTCGTAGAAAAAGAAAATAAAAAATTTCCATTTCATTGTTTAAGTTTAATCTCCGGCCCACGTATTCCTTTGTAAACGTCAAGAAAAATGCTTAGTTTTTATTCCATTTTTGAAAAGCATTAAAAACAAGATTTATTTAGAGGAATTTAATACTTCATCCCTTCATACCATACATCATGAATTTATTAAAAACGTTTATATTATACGTCCTAAGCTGAAAACTTTAGATTGGGATATCCTTAATCCCGATCGGTTAATTAATCTGAAGATTAAAAACAAGAAGAGAACAAGCATTATTTAATCTCGAGAGTTAGAAAAAGAGTGGATCAAGCATTAATCCCGATATCCACCATTCAAAAGTTCCCAGCTCTGGCATTTCAATTTCAAGTGACCTTCCATGAAAAAAGGGCAATGCCAGATTCACAACAGGACCTTTAAACCGTTGACAGATCTAGATTTATCTACGTAAAAAAACAAGTGAAAAACGTTTCATCAACGAAAACCCATTTAACTTGAAATTTCATTTCATTTAAACGCACGATGAAACGACTGCCAAAAATGCAGAAAACTAATTTGTCAATCAAATTTTCGAGATTTGAGTAAGATAAAAATTCACAGCTCTAACAAAATTGGATATAAGCGCCGCTGAAGTTTTAAAAACTGCTTAAGAAGTCCAGCATATTTTTTGTTTATTATCATGCAACATATATCCATTTTTTAATTCTTAATGAAGAAATTCGAATCTGTAAATTTTTTTGAATAAAATGTTAAAAGAAGGATTAATCCCGTCTAATTGGTCAATTTCTTTCCAATTTTTCAAAGTCCCAACGGTTTTTATTTTCCTAGACTATTTCATAGAAAATCATGTATGACCCAGTAAAATAAAAAAAAAACATTTTTGAGCTATTTATAAGGATGGATTGTTTCCACTTTTAAAAAAAAGATCGTTTCCATTTTAAACGACGAAGAAAAAATGAAAAAAAACAATCGTTTATTAAAAAAATATCGTTAACGATCGTTAAATAATAAATACATTTTTGGTCGGAAAATCTGAGGTCAGACAACATTCAGGTTATTTGTTTCGATAAAATAAACATTAAGGACAACATATATTCATAACTTTCTCTTCCTTAAAAAAAATTGAAATTAATTGTTATAAAACTCAGATCCATTAGCGAAATTTTTTTCTAAAACAATCGTTTTTTGTTTTAGAAAAAAATTCAATCGTTTTTCGTTTTTTGAAAGTTCAAAACGAGTTGTTTTCAAAAACGGAACGTTTAGTCCAAAAATTTGCATCAAGGGGCGAAGAAACTTAACAATTTTAAGATTAACACAACTTGGAATTGATCACTTGAAAATGTTCCATACATTTTAAAAATGTCCAAAATTTTTAAAATTTTACCATAGCATCAATAAAAAAGTTCTGTCCTAAACTCCTAAACCGGTTTGTCTCAATCGATGAGATAATTATGTTCGGAGCCCGTAAACTTAGCTTATTATAAATATCTTATCTGTAGACTCAAATTTTAATACCTTGGGAACCCAGCGTTTCCCAGAGAAGTCATAGTTAGTCCCACCGATTACCCGCGTCTTGTCGTAAATTACAATTTTCCGGATAAACCAACCTAAGAAAATTCCCCGTGGTCTTCCCGAGTTCCCTATTCAAAATTTGATGCAAATCGGTCCAGGGGTTCCTGAGTTATGATCGGAAAAACAAACAGACAATCAGACAAACAGAGATTACAACTTTATAGAGGTTTGGTAACCGAAAAAATCAAAGTATAGGTATGCCTTTATTGTAGAAAGGGCCCTAAAGATTTTTAGTTTTAACTTGTAATCTACGTTTTCCTAGAACCTCTTTGGAACAATCCTTTTCGAAAAAATTTGCTTCCGCTGAAAACCTAGTTACGACCAAGCTCCTTTAGTTTATCCCAAGGATGAGAAAGGCATTTATTGGGATCCACATTAGAACCCTCAAACTTTTATTATTCTCAATAGTTTATTAGAAAAAAGGAATTGGATTGAAAAAATGTAAGATGTCAATGCAGCATTTAATTTACTTAGTTTGAATTAAAATTGTACTTAATATACTTTTTTTTAAGCACAAACTCTGGTTTTCATGGGTCTCCCTGTAACATGTTCTAACTTTCCTATGAATAGTAAACATATTGCAATGCAATTGTATAATCTCCCATCAGTATTCGAGGAGTAATCCTTAACATCATAGATGAGAAGCCAAGCAGAGTTTAGAACATAACTAGATATTTATCTAATATCTTCTTTCTGCTTGTCTACCTCTCTGTATCTTGTCTGGCTTGCTCGTATATATTTCTCTGTCATCTTGAAATTATTCTTGTTTCTGATTTATTTTGTTGAGATCTCGGTCTATCTGACCTTCTTGCATAATTCCTTATTCATTCAAAAAACGGGTTTTCAAGTTTAAAATTAAATCGTGATCCAGGCCGCAATTGTCATGACTGGGTAAACTATGAAGTGACACAAGTTTGTAACTTTTACCTTATATTAACTCATTTATACCTTTTTTTAGCACTAGACGTTTACATAGCAGAACTTCACTTTTAGAGGTCCCTTGTCTGTTTTTTTTTTATCTTGGAAAGTCTAGAATTCTGAGAACTCTCTTCAAAAATCCACAATTTACAACTACTTAGATCTCCCAACTGAAAGAGCTAGGATATCCCAGATTCGACAAATATTTGAAGGTTACCGTTGTGCATAGCACATGCTACTCATAATACATGTAGAGTTACTGAAAATGATGTCGTCAGTTAACCTTCTCATGTCTGATATGTCTTTCACAAAGAGAATAGAATATATATTAGAGGAGAATAACCTTTTCGGCCCTGGGATTCATTTTATAGAAAATCTAAAATTAATGTTAATAGAAAACCAAATTATGATATGGTTTCATAATTGACCAACGATCATTTTACTTTACAAACGATGATTTTCCGTTATAGCTATAAATCAAATGATGTTTTTTATTCACCTAATTCATTTTATAAAGTTATTTAACAGCTTTAACAAATTCGAAATTGAAATGAATAGTCTAGGGAACATACTGTATTTATGTACTCTACTGCATATAATTTGTGAACATTTTCATGATTTGTAAACTTTGAACTCCCTTTCAGGCTGAAAGGGACTGAAAAAATTCATATCGAGAGATTCTCTAAATTCCCCTCTAATATATATTCTATTCTCTTTGGTCTTTCATCTATTGGCTATCATGGAACTATGCTACTAAGTGTATGCCTCCAAAATATCTATATATTTGAATGATAATATGGCGTCTTTGGTCTGGACTGGAGTTGATATTTCCAATAAACAGAGAATAAGAGACCTCTTCATCACTTATTCATGGTTCCCGCGCAGCAGAAGGGGGGGGGGGGGGGGGGGAAAATTTAATAGCTGGGCTAAATCAAATTTAAAGGGTCAAGAAAATTCTTTATTTATCTAATCAAAAGATATATATTTTTCATGTGATTGGGTTACCATTTATTAATTGTGTTAGATATGATTCAACATATAAACTATGTCCAGTCCTATGGTCTGCCTATGTCTGTAAAAGTATTAAAATATATACAGATTTGGCCCCGAAAACCACTCCATCAATGTAATTTAAATCCAATTCAGTGTAAACTCTCACTTCAGCATACACCACCGTCCTACACGATATCAGAACACGATCTTTTCTGAATTATGTGAAATATATCAAAACTTTCTTAAAAATTATCTTAAGTATAATCCTATTCCACATGACTAAACAAACATGGTGTCATACTGTCTATTGAAAATTACATAAAACGCGTATTTTAAAAAAAGAGACAATACAATTAATCTAGTTATAATCTATTCTTTCATAACAGCATTTATAATTAAGTTTTAAATTATTTACTTTTCCAAATTGTTTAGAATTTTTGAACGAAAATTCACATTTGACCCTTGCTGGCCGTTTACCTCTTCCATTCTCCTGCATTTATAAACTGTTATTTTCTCTTGATTATGCGTCTACGCTTCGGTGTAGATTTAGGGGTTAGACCCCCCCCCCCGCCGGCCCCCACCGCTCCAGCTTTTCTTCCTTCATCATTTATATATTTTGTTTTCCATACTCATTCTATTTTACATCACAAAATTCAAATTTAAGTTTCCACGTCTATTCCTCCATCTGTATTGCCCCTGCGCCCAACTACTATATACGGGGGGATATTGTTGAGTAAAAGAGGATGAATGATGAATTGGTCATGTATACTTGATTTTCAGACAGTTTTAAGTTATTGATTACTAGGAGAGTCTCAATAAATATGAACAAAATCTGTATCTATTTATAAACATTTGCAAACATTCTTGAAAATCTGTTTAAAAATGAAAAATATTTCTCAAAAAGATAAATATTTAAAATANATCGTACAAATTATAAAGGGGGGTGGTCTGATGTTTTCACCACATTTTCAAGTTTAAAATCTTTGTAGTTCCAAAGTGAGCGCATGAAAAATAAAATTGTGTTGTGCATGAAATATTTCATGAATACAAGCAAAAATTAAACTAAAAGAATATGCATTTTTAAGGGTGCAACAACCCTGCTTTGGGAGGAATGAATGAATAAATGAACTTAAATGATTGACTGTAAAATTCCCACTCAGCTCTTTTATGTAAAAATATTAATCCTGCTTCTTTTATTATTATTAATTATTACTTGACCGGGAGATTAAGGGAGGATAATTAAATTGAGGGGAAAACCACTTAGCCGAGGGCCTCCAAGACCTTTTTGGTGTT